CAATTATTTTTACATCTCTCTCTTAAAAAACGAAACTTTAATGCAATGTCTTTTTGTTTAATGCAGATGCTTACCCATTCATTTACAAAATCTGAAAATGAATGGATGGCTAGTAACCCCGAACGAATTTGGATTTTTCAGTTTAATCCAATAGTAAAATAACTGGAATGATTCTGTTTAATTCAGCTTTGTCAGTTATTGTGCTGCATGTAACAGAACACTATGGTTGTAGGCTTTCTCTTCTCTTCCTTCAGCACAACCACCATGTGACACAGTCCGTGTCAGAGATTTTTCTTTAGTTTATCTGTGTTATTTTTGTATATTAACTGCAATCTTAGCATTCATCTTTAAACTAGGATGTTGTGCTCAAGCCTGGGGCCCTGGGTGCATGATGGAGCCTATTTCCTGGGTGTGCTGAGGGCTTTTTTATGATTCTCTGTGTTATATTTCTTGTTTTATTCTCTATTTGTATATATTTTATTTGTTTTAGTGTTGTGAGCCACCCAGAGTCATGTACTGAGATGGGCGGCTATATAAATAAATAAATAAATAAATAAATAAATAAATTTACAAAGTACATTTACTTCAATAAATTGTAGTTAAAATAAACTGAAGTTTAAACATAACTCTAATATGTTGTAAACTGAAAATGAAAGAGAAAATAGGCAGAGGAGGGATTAGGCATGCATCCAGTGTTTGTACATATACTGTAATTGTAAAATGCAGCTTACATTTTACATCTCAAATCTACCATTATTAACTTTATTTGATGGGATTGGAGGATTCTCATTACGGTACTATGGCTAAGGACCAGAAGCTGTCATTATTTTAAATATATTTTTGCTTATAAAAATCCAATTAAAATGTAGCTTGGGGAAAATTTCGTGCTGGAGATGTGAACATTTCACAAAGGAGGCACCAAGTGACATACTTTATTCTTCCTAGGGTAACCAACTTGAGTTTTATCTCCACTTTTGAGGCTATTCCAGTTGTGTTGAATAAGGCAACTAAATTACAGGATGCCCTACCCAAGAAAAGTTAGCAAGGTCTGCTCTTTGACCACTTTTGAATTTTGATTTATTCCCACAGGTTTAATTTTATGAATTACAGCTTTTCATATTGTTGCAGGTTTGTTTGACTGTTTTTTGTTTTTTTTTAAATGCTGAATTTTCTTTTTTGTAGAGTATTTTAAGAGTTTTCTTAGAAAAGTACTGCTATAGAACTCATGAAGCACTCACAATCAGGCAAATTTACAATGAATTCATTGAGGTTTCCAAAATATGGTCTGATTCACCCATTATAGTAAGCTGTTTGTTTTTGTATTAGTGTGATATATGAACTCATTTATTACTGGTGAGCACATATGAACCAGGCATAGGGAGTTGTCCATGGTTAGAATCTCAGTGTAAATATATTGCTGGTTTATTTTAGGGTTCTTTTTTGGTAATACATTGTTTGGCTGATTTTTTTTCATGGTAAAGAATACAGAAAATAAGTCTTAAATATTCCTGTCCTTCCTGAGTGGAATTTCTTTTTAATAATATAGGAGTGTGATGTTACCTAGAAAGGTGCAGGCACAGAACAGATCCCATTTCATTGGCTTTATCCTTTCAGCTTCATTATCGCCAAGGATCCTCTCACTTTTCTTCCTTCCTCTCAATTCATTTAATCACTCAACCACAGACTTTCTTTCCTTCTGCTGGCCTGAACATTGCTTCCCTTTTCCTTATATATCCTTGCTTTTTTTTTTTTTTTTGGTTACTCTGATTTCTCACATTTTCACCTGATTTCTCTCCTCACTTCTGCCATTTATACTTCCCTTGTAAAAATATCTCCATGATGTCCCCTCATTCTAACCACTAGCTCATACTACGGAAACCACATCAAGCTGTTGATTTTCATCCAGAAGAATTTGATCAATGGAGGCTGTTTTTATTTTATCTTCCTTAGAGACATATATGTGCATGCACGGTTAACTATTTCTTGTTTCAAGATGAGCCTGGATATTCTCAGTATTCCAGGATTTTCCTCTGAGGGAGAATGTTTGGGCCCGGATCTGTTTTTCTCCCAATCTCTAGAGCAGTGTTTCTCAACCTTGGCAACTTTAAGATGTGTGGACTTCAACTCCCAGAATTCCCCATGCTGTCTGGGGAATGAAGAACATGAATATTGTATCAGTTACTTTCACCGAGAGGAACTACTTCATTTGAGAATTGATATAGGCATGCTATGCTATATTATATTAAGATATAAACTTAGGTTCTGCTTTCTATTACACAGACTCTCTGACATCCAAATGGAAGACTAGTTCTGAACTGTAAGAAAGTTCAGTGACGCTGGCCGGAGGAAAAACAGAGATGATAAAGTGAATGCAAAAGATCATGAGGACAGATTAGTATTTATTTGTCACTTATTGCTCCATTCAGAAGAATGTGAAAGTCTAGAATTGTTTTAGCAAATTCTAGCAAGGCAAGTACAGTATATTTCTTCTGTGCTGCAGACAGTGGAATATGTCAGTCCAGCCTGAGAGAGTTTCCTTAAGTCGAGTTATGAATAATCACAATGGGTGGGGTTAACATGACAAACTATGCCGTGAGCAATGATTCATAACCATACTGGCCGCATTGATTAACATACTAAACCAAACCCCAAGAAATCACATTATCACAGCCATCCATTCCTAATCACCATGGCCAAAATGATGAAACTATGTTGTGATGTCACAGCACAAGCTCTTCACTTACACACCTCCATCATGAGATCATGTGCAAATCTATAAGGACAGAGTTTGCATTACAAGAAATGTTTTGCAACCTGGTCCCCCAGCAGACACCTACACACGTTACATAGCTTAGTGTGATGTATAAACCCAGCCACATTTTGATAAGTTAGTGACTCATAGCAACCTTTTGTAAAATGGGAATAATAACTATTACAGAATATTATTGTGCAAAAATAAACACAAATTAGAAATCTTTTTTCTTTATTTATAGCCAAAAGGCCCGAAAGCAAGTTGCAAATATAATCTAGACTTGACATTAAATAAAACAATTTAACAGATAAAATATTTAATAAAT